TCTTTCGTTTCACTGTGCTATATCTTTCCCTGATTAGCCCGGCTAACAGCCTTACCATCGATCAATAGCCAGTGCTGTATCACCTGGTGGTCAGTGGTCTGTCCAAAGATTATGCCACAGTTATGTGCAACTTGTTAGCTGTTTGTTCAGGACGCATTTGGGTGATGAGAAGGAAGTTGAGGCATCAATAATAGCATTTTTGGATTGGCTAAAGCAGCGCACATCATCGAACTCGTCGCCTGCGCTGCAGCAGTTCTTCATTCTCTTATCCATTCATTTACATGCCAGCCAAAATGAACAGCTCGCCGCTCTCATCTCCAGCGTTCTCGCCTTCAAGGTAAGCTCAATTTTTGCAGTTTTTGCAATTTTTTTTTTGAGATCTTAATGGTCATTTTTTACAGTTTCGTCGTTCCACTCCCATCCGACCAGTTAGGCCATGCGCGATATTCTTTTTATGATTTCTTTGATAGAATTTTCACCATATGGTACTCTTAGCATGCTGTTGATCACTTTTTCTGCTCTCTAATAGATTAGTACGGGAATTGAGCGCCCTCGATCATATTTCCGTCTTTCATGAAAAGTTGAATTTTGATCTATTAACAGAAGGATCTCTTTGTTTGGCAAAATTGGTTTGTGATTTTTGACCCTCGTCATCCCTTCTCATCCCTTCGTTCATCTTAGAATAAAGTACGAAAAGTATGGCTTTCTCTAAGCTACTTTTTTGGTCAGCCAACTGACCATTTAGCAACCTATGCTCCTCTCTGTTCTGCAATATCGATTGCTCCCGCAAATGATATGTCAAAGTTTACCCATGGATTTTGCAGACATTGGATACGGAACTACTGGTTTCAAGCAGTTTTGAATAAAAGCTCTTTGCTTAAAAATTAAATCCCCCTCCCGTATTTGTTCTGCGTGAGAGATGGAGAAATTTAGCAAACGGTAGCTCGCACTAACAGCAGCTATCTACTAGGAAGGCTGTTGATGGCCCCCTCTTTCACGTATTGTTCAGAAATAAGCTGATGGCTTTTTTTGAAAAAAATAGTTTATGTGCGCAATTCAAAATATTTCATTTAGGTCACCGTCAACGTAAGAAATCTTACAACACTAAAGACATTGTTCCTTCGTCATGCGACAACCGAACGCGATATAGTTGAGCGCGCCGCCCAGATGGCTATCACTCGTTCGCTGAGTTTGAACCACCAAGGATTTCTTCCGGCCCACTGTATCACGCAACTCCTCTCAACCAATTCATTTTTAAAGCATTCCGTCCCTATTCGGGTTAGTTTGTGCGTTCTTTTTCAGCTTTACCTTTTGCTTAATAAAATAAATGATTTCCATTTTAATTCTTATTATAAAAGTCTCATTGTAAAAGTATCTTCACAATTCTTATTATATAATTATTATTGAAAAATTGCCTTCATTTTTCGATTAGTGCCAGCGTTTTGTCGCATTTTCGTGCTAAAAGTGTAGCTAGTTACTTCTCCGTGGTCATTTTGAACGAATAGCGCATCGCTTAATAGCTGTGATGTTCGCTCCCATACTTCTTCTTTATTTATTTGAAGAAGTATTAGGTATATTGTGTTTTTTTTTTCATTGTTTGATTGAGTTATAGCAGTCCCCTTTTTTTCGTCGCAGTTGTTGTTATTTACAGGATGTGTTTTATCAGTTTTTAGCTGTTTAGAATTTCCAAAAAGCGTTGGGTTTCGAGAATTACATAAAGAAATACGAAGCACATATTAATCTAATTATCATCTATCACTAACGAATACTCACTGGAAAGTGTGCTTGTAGCTCTCTCTATAAAAAAGACAAAGTTCTTCAGCCGACTTCATTTCGCATGTTTATAATTGTGCACTGAGTATTCGTTAGTGATAGATGATAATTAGATTAACGTAGACACATCAAAAATTTTTTTCAAAATTCGAATTTTATAACGTTAGCATCAAATATCCAGCGAATGCTGCTAAAGATCATCAGCGAAATGGAGTACGCCTCGATGGAGTTACATGGCAAGCTGAGCGTGGAAGCGCTAGTTGCTTCAATATTAGGGGAAAGCATAACGAAGATTGATGGAATGAATGTTCGATTACTTACAGGATTGGATTGGAGCGCAGATACTCAATTGTGCTACACCACTGCATCCTGTTATGACACATTTACTGAAAGCATATGCTTCGAGCTGTGTTACAGTTTTTGAAAATAAATCTCCAAATACGCCATTCTCGGAAGAGTTTATACTGGTAAGTTCACAAAAATTAGCTTAAGGTTATTGCGCATCCGGCTAAGGGTTAACCTACAGCTATAGTGGAGAAGCGAAGTGATGGTATGACGAATACTAGAGACGATGAGATACTCATATCAGGTCATTACTGTGCGAATTTTAATCCCAAGGTCATAAAATTAGTCGAAATTGGGAAAATTAGGGGGAGAAGGGGTTGAGGGGGGGAGGGCGGGGAGGGGGGAGGGAGGGGAAGGGGGAGGAGAGCAGTAGGCTTCCTTCCATTTAATTTTTCAAGGAAAGTGCTGTCTCCAGCAAGTGAATTCAAGGTTTTAAAGATTGCTTTTGTTTACAGTTCTTTGTTAATATGTTTTTGAAGTTTTTAAAAACCACGATTTTCCAACTTGTAGTATTAATGATGGAAAATATTTTTTTTTTATTTCGGTAATCTTTGTATTATTTTCACAAGACATAATTTTTTTATAAAAGTTGTATTGCACATCAGAAAGCTTCTTGCAACGTATTTCTAAGGCTCGAAGTAAGCAAGACGAAATCAACTGATTGCAGGAGTTATTTAGCGGCAATGTTATGGATGAAAGTCGGATGGTGCCCCGGCTGCTTATATTTTTCTTCCTTCTCTGTTATCGCAATAGCTTTGAGAGCGTTGCTGCTACTGGCTCTGTTCAGTATTTCTATAGGTATTTTTTTATTTTGGTTTTTAATTTAATGGTGCAATATGCATATGAAATTACTGTGTGCATCGTTTCTCGCGTTGTAGTATTTGTGGCCTTTTTTGCTTTCCTTTTTCTTTTGCCGATATTTAGACAATTTAAGATAAGTGGCGCCGAAAATGCTGTTGCAAGTATACGATCAAATTGAAACCAGCGAATAGAATATGCTAATAACTTTCTTGTTAATCGATCAGTATCAATAAGTGATATTTGCATGATGAAAAACGACTTTTTAGACAGCTTTCAAGCTGTTAGCAGAAATAGCCTGTACTGATGGAAGAAATGTAGCTGAGGAAAAAAAGCTTTCGGATCTCTTCGAGCAGTACTGGTAATTTGCGTTAGTTTCAGCGTTAAATTAGAAGCTGCAATACCAATGAGATTTCTGCTAAACGTTGTGGAATCACGGCCCGAGCATTTCCAAGCAATTCGTTCACCGCTTATTCGCTTATCCGGTCTCTACTATCCGCATATGCTTCCAACCATCGATTCATTGTTGCTCTCAGTGCAGGACGAACTCAAGACTTCTATAGCTCTGCATAGGTATGTGAATTTTCAACGAGAAATGTTACTTTTTGAAATTTAAATTTTCCGCTATTAACCTCTTCGAGCAGTATCTATAATTTTTATTAATCCCAA